AGTAAGTAATTCCATATTAGTTTGTTTATTAGTGAAACAGTAATATTTACTGGATGACGAGGTTTCGAACAAAAGTGACAGAGCACAAAAACTAAGTAGTACCAAGAAAAATCTAAGACAGGAAGTGAGGCATATAAGAGATGATTTGAAACTTAATTATTACCCTGATAAATTAGTCAGAAGGTATGTAGGCAAATGTAAAAATAAAATAAATAATAATAGTAGTGATAGTGATAATAATTATAATATTAGTGACGACATGCATGTCAAACATGCACAGAATAATGACAACACAAACAATAAAGAATCTAAATCATCAGTATTACTTCCATAGAAAGAAGGGACCTCGGAAACTAGCTTAAGGAGAATTCTTAACAATAAAAGCGTTCAAACCCATAAACGCAATTAGATACAAGCGTTGTTGGTTAAAGGATCCTGTGGAGCCTTTAAAACAAAACAGTTTAGTTTATCTAATACCCGCCTGCGTGCGTCGGTGGTATAGCGGTTAGGACGCTCACCGACCATGCACATGGTCCGGGGTTCGATCCCCGGCCGGCGCACTCCCTTACCTCGCTAAGTCAGAACTAAAAAAAGCTGGCGAAGAGGGAAGGTTGGGCATGAGGCTAGCAACCCCATCCTATAAAATAAACACTGCCACAGAAACTTCAAGCCTCTAGCTTGAAGCACTATGTTCCACTGGGAACGTGAAGGAAAAAAATACCCGCCTGCAATGATTGTCAGATCAAATAGATAGGTCAGACTAGTAGAACAGGGGCATTCAGACTAGCCGAACATAAAAATTTCGCAAAATTTAGATTGGTTGGCCCGAATAAGATAAGAAATCTAGAGAATAGTTCAGCTATAGCACTACATGCAGTTACACACAACCACACGATAGGATGAAATAGGATGACAGTTTTGAAATCTAATGTCACAGGATGGAGGGAGAGATTGATAACAGAAGCTTTGTTTATCGAATCAACTGAGAAAATACGTGTAATAGGAATGATTCAACACCTGTCCCAGATATCTGGAAAATTTTACTACCCCTACAACGACGACAAATAGGAGAGGACAAAGAAAACTATAAAACTCAAGTTTCGAAGTCGTGTGATTACAATTGATATGATTATGAACCACGATAATTTTTGTTCGAAACTGTGTCATCCAGTAAATAATACTGTTTCACTGTGTGTGGCACACCTAATAAACAAAATAATATGGAATTTTCTCGTGCCGCCTACCACAACTAAGGAATATTTTTAACCTATTCAAATGAAATATCCAAGACTTCAAACCCAGTCTCTTCGCTGTTCATATAGTGGTTCTATTACTTTATGGCGTGAGTCATGAAAGTCACTAATCTTTTACTTGTGAAGATTGAAAGTGTCACCTAAATGGTTGAAACCAAGAACGTAGGCAAAAAAATCACACCACACTCTTTAAATTTGAAAAAGAAGAAGAAAGTCGAAGTCAACTTGCATTTCAACGTATACTTTTGAATTGGAGAGGAGATGGCTCAATGAAACGGTCAATTTATGGAAAGTCTACTTGAATAGGGCAATATTTAAACTTTCTCAGTTTCTGTCCATTATACAAATATTAGAGACTTGCCAAAGTGTCTATTTAAGAAATCCTCAGCCTATTTGTACAGCTGTTGTCATACATAATGAAAATAAAACACTGATGGATACTCTTATGGGGAGTGGATATCCTTTAGAAGTTGTAAACCGGTAAAGAAGTCAGTTAGTTTCAACAACTATGGTCTATCCCGTCCCTGAGATAGATATCTTCATCAAATTACCATACAGCGGAAAAATAAATAGTAGGATTTTAAGACAGAGACTAAACTCCGTCAATCGTAGAACAGCCTACCTTATACATGGTGAAAAATCCAAACACACGCTCTTCTACATGTCTCAGAAATGTACAAGTGATTACATCATATTGCATGATACCTGATAATTCACCTGTGTGTGTGTTCCGTCGTACATATGTGGTGAGAGCAAGCTGCTAGCCAATTGGTAGACATTGATCTACGCTGATTGGTGGAAATTAATCTAGGCTGATTCAACAACCGATCACAGCTGACCTAGACGTGGACAAATATGATTCGCAGACAAGTGGCTCGCATTTCCGAGAAATATCGAAAACGAGAAAGCAGAAGACTGCGTTTGTTTGCAAACAACCAATCAGAAGACCGCCTTCTTTCTGCGGGCAGAGCCTTAATAATGTACGTAAAATACATATAAATACCTGTTGGTTTTCGTAATAAAACTGATCTGTTGCTTGGCCCTTGTCTTCTGTTGTTACACATACACAGCGAGGAGTAATCTTGATTTGCATATGAGCGTGGAAAAATGCATACCTGAATGTTTAGACAAACAAATGAACTGTGAAACATTGATAAACGCAGATTACTACCTTCGTCTATAGCTGAACACTTAGTCGATATGAATAGAGAGCATATTTTAAGAAACTTATGCCTAAAAGGAAGCAGATATTTACAAAGTATAACTACCCGACACCTAGTGTATACCGGTCATTTCGTTGAGAACTCCAAATCCTTTAAAATATATTCAACATATAGAGGACAACGAATTTACTAAGATTTGTTGGAGCAGTTGTCATGAAGCGTTTTACACCAAACTTAAACACACAGAAAGAGAGTGTAGTCAATCTCTCATCACCTTAGTAACCGTATTACTTTGATCACAGCTCAGCTCATTGAGCATGTTTTCAATTTGATGAAATTTAACCTTCTTGAGTTGCTGTGTAAATGTTTTATTCACAATATGTGGATCAGTTTCCCTCAGATGAAAGTGACACTGGACCCCTCTCTGCAGTTTTCAGCACCAGTCGATCGTTCAGGAGAAACTGGATATGATCTTTCTATTCAAAGATCGAGATTGTATTCCTTCAACTACCCTCAGCGGCATTGAGAAATATCTAAGGATGTATACACACATAACTTGAATTAATCTTACCTCGGGTGAACAATTCCTTATCTTAGCCACAATGAATATGTGAACAAGGGGAGGAACAATAGTAAAATTGGTGAGATTCTCTTGATTAGTTGTCCATATTCCATGATAGATTTGAAGAATTGTAGAACTTCTGATTTATCTTTCACAGTTTGTCTTCTGCAATATGCAAATATTACACAACTGCCTCTCCTATCCGTCCGTTACAACTAGCTGAAAAAAGTATTTGGGAATGATTTCATTTTTTAAGCATCGAATGTTGAAAATACGATGATTTTTATATCTTGCTTCAGTTTGTGAAAGTCGAGTGAGTTTATTGATAAGTCTTCGTACAGGAAGACCATAAGTCATATTATTAAATGTGTACAACTTGGGCACTGTGGTAGTAAGTAATTCCATATTAGTTTATTTATTAGATGTATCACAGTCTGTGAAACAGTATTATTTACTGTATGAAGAGGTTTCGAACAAAATTTATTGTTCATAATCATATAGCAGCTGAAAAAAGACTAAATCTCCAAACTTTATACCTCTTTGGTCAAGCTACCCGATAATATTCTCTTTGTTAATGGATCCAATGCATACCACATCCGTAGAATTTATACATATGGTGGCTTGTCCCCTAAAGCTGAAAAATGTAATGTTTATCTGACGTGATGTGTACTACGCATTAGCCGCAACGTTTGCGCAAAAGAAAATCTACCAATCGCAATATGCATAAGTCTCACTTCCCTCCCCATTTTCATAGTTTGAAAGCACATAACTTGATGGTGACTTGCACTAAAAATTGTAATGCTTATATCCCGCATACATTCATCTTCTAATATTTTCTCCACTGTCTTTCAAACATTGAAGTATGATGTTATTGTAATTATTTATAACCAATTGTATTTTCAGGTTGTTTACAACAGCCGATGAGAGCCTGTGAAATAGAATGATGATATCACTTTATGCTGCAGATATGGTCTTTCTTCCTCTATCGAAATTTATCAAGGAAATCAAATATGTGAAATCCAAAAATTGATATCGAAACAGTTTCTAAGGTTTGTAAGGGCGGTAACTGAAATACACAGAGGAGATAGCTGCTCGGAAACGTAAGCTTCACCTCCCCCCACCTTGTGTGTACAAAAATAATTTATTACTACTCTCAACCTATCCTGATAATCCTTATCTCATTGCGTAACTAGACATTGTGCTAATTTAATTGATGGATGGTGACTAGCAGTGGAATCCAGGATGCGCATTTCATCCTATTTGGGACTCGTCATCAGCTGGATGTACCTGCATTTCTCAGTGAGTGATGATGTTCCTACCGAGGCTCGAACCCAGTGCCTATATTTTTAAACGCCAAAGCGTTATCCACTAAACCCAAATGGTTGGGTGGGGACATCATCACTCACTGAGAAATGCAGGTACGTCCAGATGACGAGTCCCAAATAGGAAGAAATGCGCATCTTGGCTGGATTCCACTGCTATTCACCATCCACCAGTTAAATACTAATTAAATGCCCAGAAGCATTTGCACAAGAAGCCGACATGTCAACCTGAGACCGAGCACTTCGGTCCAATCAGTCGACGGGAAAATCTAAAATTAAATTAAATTGTGCTAATTGTTCTTACATTATTCCTAAATCCTTTATCATGTTACCTATTTTAATTACCCTTCATTTTTCATATGACTTGATACTCCTTACCATTCCAAGTGAAACATTCGGCTTCACACTTTGAAATTCCAGTAGGGATACTGTCGTCTCCCTACTCTCCAGGATGGGATTATTAATCCCACAACTAACCTTTACTCTATTCCAGCCCAGTAATGAATGTTTTTAGCTAGGCAGACTTTTAGAAAGTATCGACCAGTGATTGAATTCGAAAGTCCCACATAACTGGCGAGGAATCTCGCACCGAACCATCAATACTACTTTATTTTAAATTGTTTTATCTGATATCCGATGTTAATTAAAAAATTGTCTTACTGATCTGCATTTGTTTTTCAAACATTTATTATTAAACAAGCAGTTGTTGAAAAGCCATTCTGAGGAGGAAAAATCGAATGATGTTATTGATCTTACCAGTGGAACTAAGAAACTACCAACATCAAAAGCGACAACATACACCAGTTCCAATTTAATCAATGCAGATCAATTATTATTATTACATGAAGAGAAGAAAAACACAAAAGATTCTCACAGACCAATGGATCCCAAGTGTACGAATGATGCGCGTCAAGTTACTCTGAGATCTCAAAATCAGTCGATGAAGGAAGTTCAGAATCCAGCCAAAATGCATATGCCAAAAACAGCAGCTGTAAACTCTATACAATTCAAACTGATACCAGTTGACAGGGCAGGAATTCCCCTGAAAACTCCTGGCCTAATTCATAATAATAAAAATAATACTCATAAGTTGTATATATCAAGTCCATTTCCGATTGGCAGTAATATCAGTAGTATATATTTAATGCCTAAAAATATGACATCATTTATAAATGCTTCAAATAATGTATCTCCTATACAACAGACATTAAATTTACTACATCAAAATAGAAGAGATGATAATGACGGCGATGCTTATGTTGATGCTGATGATAAAGATCACTTCAATGGAGGAATACACCAGCATCATCAGCATTATAATAAAGAAGACAATGACATCGGGATGAAAGATGAAATCAATAATGGATCCCAGCAGAACGGAGAAAAGGAAAGATGTTCAACTTGCAAATTAAGCTTTAAACATCCAATAGACTTTGTTAAACATATTCAGATGGTAAGTGAAAGTCATGTTGATAAAAAATAAAAATAGACATTTTTAACCTTTAATTATAATGTGGGTTCCAGGAAATCTAGGTGTGGTTCACTTCCAAGTAGGTTTTCTTTACTAACATTTCTGTAAGAATTTCTAAGAGATAGCTCTATTAAAGTTGTGAGGGATCATCTGTTTGTCTAGAAGACTGATGCTTGTTAATTATCATTCAAGCATTGACTTATCAGCCCTTTATGCTTTAGTTAACATGGCTACCATTAACTTTCGAATATCGCGTAAAAACTGAAATAAAAGTTTTGAAGGCAAGATGAATCATGAACTGAACCGAGCAGTTCTGGATAACTGTTTCATTCTCCTAGTTTCAGAGTGGTCAGCAGTAATCGTCAGGGTTTGAACCCAGGACCGCCAGATTAAAAGACGATTTCGTTAATCATTCAGCCGATCAATTCTAACTATTGTCATCTTACTATGAGGCAAGTATTCTTCCTCTCACCGTAACCTGGTGAACTCCACTAGTAACAAATACTCAGTAGAACTTTCGGCACCATCATGATATAGTCAGTGAACATTAATGAGCACTAGTTTATCTTCAAGTTTTGGTTTGCTTGTATTCAGTTCATTTCAAGAATATTCACAAGATGACATGAGTAAGAGGACCACTGAAAACCAAGAAAAAACAATTGAGGAAGGAATATCCTTTTCGATAATTTCCTTTTCTGGTACTACAATTATATATATGTTTATATACAAAGAATATTCTAGAATAGTAGTCAATAACAATCTTTTGTAAGTGATTGTTCCCTTCATACAACGTAGGCTTTTTGGTACATGTTGAGAAAATCGTAGGTGTACCCAATGCAATTGCTTCCACAGATACATGTAGATTTGTATACATAGTTAGAGTTTACATGAGATGGGTGTCTGTCGGCCTTTGGTTGCACCAAAGAGCATGTTTTCCGAGAAACTGAAAACAGCATAGCTGCAGGATAGGTTCTGGCTGATGAGGTATTCAATATAGCGCGAAATGAGTATCCTGCGCTTCATTGCTGGCCATCATCGAAGATGTAACTAAAACACATTGAGTGATATATTCATAATTTACATTGTTATTCTAATGAGAAGAATGCGTTAAGGGTATAGGGGACAGCTTTCCAGAATGAGGATGCTGATGGTGATTGGTAATGAATTTCTTCGAAACACATTTACTATGATCATATTTCGAACAATCTGATCACACACGGACTTGTCATAGGAATACACATGTACGAAATTTAATAAAGAGTTAAGAGGTGAGAAAACAGACTACTTCGGTCAAGTTAAAAGGACATATTGAGCCAGCCCTTACTTGCAGAGATCGATGAGTCCTCCCTATGTATGTGTGTCCACACATACATTCAAATCGGTAAATACAATGGAATGTGACATCATTTTTCGCATGTTCTAAGGGATTAGATGGATGGATATATTGGCTTCACATTCTCAATTATTATGATATAAGTTGCATAAAAAGTCTTTTTAACAGCAGCGTTCAGTCTTTGTCTACTTATCAAGCTGCTATGATGCCCCATATAGGTTAGCTTGATGCATTAATTACAGAATAGCATATCACTTACATCTGTAGAAGAAGAATATAATTGGTTATCTTTCACAGACATATTGCTTATTCCACGGCTTGATGGGTCAATAAAAAGATCTATTTATAGAAAACCTACACGAACAGGACAGTATCTTAATTACCACAGTTTTTGCCCTTTTCGGTACAAAAGAGCATTAGTGAGGTGCCTCTTCCTTAGAATCCAACGAATATGCACTGAAGACACACACTTGATGAAGAAGAAAGAAAGTTGACACAAACTCTGGTTGATAACAGTTATCCAGACAAGTTCATTAGGAGATACAAAGTAGTTAGAACACCAAGACCCACTCTACAACTCGCCCCTAAGAAAGACGTGTACATCAAGCTACCCTATATGGATCATCATGGCAGCTTGATAACTGGACAAAGACTGAACGCTGCTGTGGTTAAAAAGACTTTTTGAGTAGCTAATATCATAATAATTGAGAATGTGAAGTCAATATATCCATCCATCGAAGCCCTTCGAACATGCGAAAAATGATGTCACATCCCACTGTATTTACCAATTTGAATGTACGTGTGGACACACATACATAGGGAGGACTCATCGATCTCTGCAAGTAACGGCTGGCTGCAGAGCATATTCCTAAATGACTGCAAAAACAAATAGAATCTTCAGAACCCATTAACCGAGAGAACCGGAGACCTAGCTCCACTATTGAGAAACATATTACAGAAAAAACAGGACATAAAGTGAACGTTAACACATCTTTTAAACTTGTCTATAAAACGTGTTTGGAGGAGGGCGTATTCTAAAGTTTGTGGAAGCCCTAGCTGGCAGTTAGAAAGTTTAAACCACCTTTATGCTTTCATCGAAAGTAATTCGTCATCACACTAAACCACCTTCCTTGGTAAATTTTGTTTTGATTCCAGCCACGTTAGATGTACTATTACCTCTGCTATTTGGTTTAGTAGTCTTCACTGTTATTTTGACCTTCAATATATCCTTTTAACTTGACCGAAGTAGTCTGTTTTCTTACCTCTTAACTCTTTATTAATTTCATATTTGTGTATTCCTATGACAAGTCCTTGTGTGATGGATCAGATTGTTCGAAATGTGTCGCACAAATACACATTACATGATTCAAAGAAATTACGCCTTCTTATTGCTTTATCTAAATTCATAAAGGGAACTAATTGTTTTAAACACATCATTATGAGCTTTTCTATTATTTTAAATCATGGAAAATTCCCAATGTAACATATAGGAAATCAAAACAAATGATTCAGCGAAGAGACTCTTTTCAACGAATTTATCATCAAGCTGTACAATCGTATATTTATGGTTTTTAAGAAGTTATATCCGGTGAGGGAATTGAATCATAGGGGTGAATGCATAAAATAATAATAATAATGTGAAATGCAATTAAAACTAAAATGTTTGTGATTATAATCGCAGTTAAATGTCAAGTGGCAAAGCAAATTAATGTCATACATAGAATAATTCCTAGGATGGATAGAACTTGAAAAAGGTGTGCAATTATAAGTTTAGTAGACAAATCGAATAAAATAAAAAAGTTACGTAATATTGTGTGAAATTTAATAGCATAGAATTTAATGTTGCATAAAAGAATTGATTTAGAATGACTAGTTGAACAAGGGAAATAATACCGGGGACAATTAAAAGTGAGAGTAGTAATAGTAACAATTGACGTAATAAGGAAGAGTATACAAACTGAATAGACAAAAATGAAAAAAATAATGAAAAATTGGTAGAGCTAAAATATGATTGGGGATTACCATACTTTAGCATAGAGGGATTAAGACCATGAAAGTTGGAGGGGTTGAACGAACTTTTTCTGTACACAGAGATCTGGCTTTTCTGTTTCGATAGCCAAAGATGGCTTCAGCAATACAGATGAGTCGGGTACGTAGGGATTTGTGTAAATTACTCTTTGCCTTGTAGATGACTTTGAAGGCGGAGGCTATAGAGATAGGGTGATCATTATCGACCGGATGTTCAATGATAGCGCTTCTTATTGCTCCACTTCCACCTCTTCGCAACCACCATGCAGGGTAGTGTTCTTGAACCCTCTTGGAAAAAACTCGATTATAATTATAAACATTTTAGTTTTAATTGCATTTCACATTATTATTATTGTTATTATTATTAATATTTTATGCATTCACACCTATGATTTAATTCCCTCATCGGGTATAACTTCTTAAAAACCATATGTGTGTATATACGATTGTACAGCTTGATGATAAATTCGTTGAAAAGAGTCTCTTCGCTGAATCCCCACTTGTTTTGATTTTCTATTATTGTCTATGAAAGATTCTGAAGTGCTGAGTTCTTTACTGGTTAGCTACTGTGCTGCACAGGAAACTCCTTCCTCTCCTCACAATCGAATGCATCCATGTGACTGTATTGGTAGACTTGTATAACACAGCTTAGACATTTTGAGATTAAATATGAGGCATAATATAATTCATATTATATAATATCTAACTCCATGTTTCCCTTTTTAAAACAAAACGAATAATAGTAACAACAACAATAATTCCCCTTCTAGGTTCATGTTGGATTACAATTTCGGAATAGAGTAACTTTTTCAAAGTACCCAGAGAATAGAACATTCAGGACATCATCAATTAAAAGACGTTTTCCCGCTGAACATCTGAGACCCTCTAAAAGCAAACTCCATCATGCTGACAATGATAATGATAATGACAATGATAATAATAAGGAAGGTGTTAGTGAAAGTGACTTCAATAATCATGATAATAAGGATGTCAGCAATGAAGGCAATGATAAAGTCAACGCAGATGATGACTTTGGTGGTGGTGGTGGTGCTGGTGGTGACGATGTCGTCGGTGATGACGACGGCGACAACAACGATGATGGCGACGATGATGATGATGATGACGGCGACGAGGATATGAAGGAAGAAGACAATGATGAGTATATCCCAGTGAAATCAACATTATGTAATACTAGACAAAGACCATATGAATTTAGACGGATGAAGAAATCGGAATCACTGACTGGTTGACTGATTGATCGACTGGACGAAAATCATCCGTATATATTCCTCATCTATGTATACATAATATGACCTTCACACTATGTTTATATTGTTAGTATAATTATTAAAAATATACATATTTTTTGCCAAGTTTGATTTCTGAAATTTACCATCTGAATTCTAGAGAATATCATTTGCCTTCATTTGACTTAAAATTGTTGTTTAAGCAGAAAAGAAGACTGAAAAAAATGAAAATTTACAAAAAGAATCCACCGTTTTTCTTTAATCTCGCGTTTATCTCTCGCACTATGAAGTTTATTCAGGTACTTGTTACTACTAACATTATTTCAGTAGTAGGTCAAGATCCAAATAAATCCCTCATTGTAATCAACTATATTACAAGCAAACCTCGCCGATGATATATGTCTGATTTCCCACACACTAGAAGATATGCAAGCGAAAAGCAACAAGTTGGCAGAAGAAGCATCAAAGATAGGACTTCAGGTGAACATAGAGAAAACAGAGGTGATGAAGATTCCTGGCCAACACAACCAACAGTAACAACAACAACAGACAACAATCAGCCGCCAAAAATGGGAAAAATCTGAAAGAAACAATCTCTTTTACCTACCTGGGAAGCATCGTTTCAACTACAGGCGAACGGAACTGACGAGGATATCAAAGCGAAAATCGGAAAAGCAAGACAAGCTTTCACTACTCTCAAGTCTGTGTGGAGGTCAACATCCAGCACTCAGCATCAAAAATAAGATCCGGATTTTCAATTCCAATGTGAAGTCAGTCAATGCCACTATACGGATCAGAGACTTGGCCAGCGCGTCATAAAGAGCATCTCAAACAAACTACACACCTTCATCAACAGTTGTCTTCGCTCAATACTACTCAAGATCAGATTGCTGGCCAGAAAAGATCAGCAACAGAGATCTCTGTGAGCGAACCAACCAGGAACCGATTGTGAAACAAATAGGGAGGAAGAAATGGAGATGGATTGACCATACTCTAAGGAAGCCATCAAGTGACATCACTAGACAAGCCAGTGCTCGAGTGGAACCCGAAAGGGAAGCGGCGAGTTGGTCGTCAATGCAAGGGTGACTTGGAGGAGGTGATGTGAAGAGGAGATGAAAGCGTGTGGGCAGACTTGGAGCCAGGTGAAGACTCTAGCAGAGTACCGAACTCAATGGAGACGCGCGGCTGAAGCCCTATGTTCCTCCAGGAATTAAAGGAAACAATAATAATATAATAATCAGTTGTAACAGGTGATCAGAGTTTTTTTCTTCCTGCTTCGGGCAGTGATTGCTATGAAGCCACTAATCTGATAATTGAAAGCGGTTTGCAAAGATTTCCCACAACATTCAGCATAATTTTAATAGATTTAATGCAAATTTTAAAAAAAACAAAGTTTACAAATCTTCCTAAAGAATGGTAAAGATAATGTACGCGTGTAAAACTTGGACAGTATCGTAGTAGATAATTCCATAATAATTTGTTTGTTAGATATAATAAACTGATGTTTTGAACACAATTTATTATTCTTAGTTAGCTCAATTAACCTTGCCTAGATTTCTAGCTCACCAGTGTTCTAACCGGTTCCAGGCCTGGGAAAGGTTGGAGGGTTAGACGCGAGGTGAGTGAAACTACCCCCTGAAAATCAGTCCTGTCGCTACTGCAATTCAAAACATAAGAAAATTATAAATGACAACTTATTTTTCGCCGGAATCGGAGAGACGAAATGACACAGCGGACTGGTGAAAGCCAGTCAGCTAGCTAGCTGATGTGTATTCTCTCGATGAAAGCAAAATCAGTGTTGGAGATATGGAGTGTTCGTAGAATGTATGAAGCTGGGAAAGCTGCTGTGTTTGTCAAATAGATGAGAAGATATTGTATAGAAGTGCTAGAGTTCTGTGACAGCTGGTGGAATGGATGTGGATTGCGGAAATTGTCAACTGGAGAGTCAGTAATCTACTCCTACCAACAAGATGACAACCACGAACGCACTGAGGCAGCGTTATTATGATGTCATAAGTGACAGTCAGAGCTCTAATGCAGTGGGAACCAATATCATCTAGGATGCAACTCACAAGCATGGAAGGAAGGTAACAATTATCCAATGCTACCCACAGTGCCAAAAAACGCGAAACAAGAGAAGAAGGAAGTTGTTTACAGACAACTACAAACACTAATGGAAAACATCACAAATGCTGACATCAAAATCCTCATGGGCGATATGGTTGCATACCGGACGGGAAGCAGATAAAACAGGAAGAGAACTCATCACGGGTTGAGAGGCTCTGGCTCGGAGAAATGAATGAGAACGGAGAATTATTCACAGACTTCTGCGCTTTCAGTGGTCTGGTGATCTGAGGCAGCATGAACAAACATGAGAAAATACAAAAAAGCATGGATTTCGCCTGACGGACACACCATAAACCAGATAGACTTCATTTCAAAGCTGCTCAAGGAGGTGGAGACGCAACCTGCTGCATACAACGTCGAGAGGGGGAGGAGTTGTGGGCTCACGCCATCATCTGGTGAAGCTGAAATCTCTGAGAACAACCAGAGACAGATAACTGCAATTCAAGTTCAACATTCGGAAACTGAAGGAGAAAACTACAAGCCATACCCTCACTGCAGCTGTCAGCACAAATTCGGATACATTACGTCACATCACTGAGAAATCCTGCTTGTAAGAACATTGCAACTCTCTGAAGGTGATATTCAAGGAAACGAGTACAACCATTCTAGGAAGAAAGAAGAGATAAGGTAGAGAGTGGCCATCAATCGATACCTGGAAACTAACAGAATAGAGGAGAGAAGGATAGTGAAAGAGAATGGTGATGACCCAATGCAAAGATGGACAACAGAAGAAGAAGAAGCTGAGTGCATTGTAAACTGCACTGAATAAAGAAATGAAGAAGAGTGCTAGGAAGGACAGAAGAAAATTCCACGATAAACTGGCCGGCAACTGAAGCAGAACAGGCAGACCGCAGGTAAAAGAGACCTCAGAATATTATATCAGATAACCAGGTCTCTATCGGGGAAGAGATCAGCGCCGGTGAAACCTATAAAAGATGGTCAAGGGAACATAATTACCAGGGAGCAACAATGAATGAAACAATGGGCCGATCGCTTCAAAGGACTCTTGCATTAAACATTACTTGTAAATCATCCAGAAATACGCCACCACTAACAGCATGCACAGAGCTGCCTGCCAATGGACACCAATCCTCCAACGAAAATATAAATCTTGAATGCTTTCAAGGTGCTGAAGGCCAGTCGGGAATGCATCAGGACCATACGGAATTCCCAATGAAGCACTGAAAACGAACTCAGAGACTAAGGCAGACGTGCTCACGCTATTACGGGATTCGGTTTGAAAGGAAGGATAGGTGCCTACCGATTTGAAGAAAGACTGGCTACCTTGTCAAGCTATCCAAGAAAGGCGACTTACGATTCTTCAAGAACTACCGTGGTACAATGCTCTTGTCAACTCCAAATTAAATACTAAGACACGTCATCCTGGAGAGAATTAAAGATGCACCCCACAGAACAAGCTGGATTCAGGAAAGACAAATCATGTGCTGATCATATTGTAAATATACGCATCGTCATCAAACAAGGGATAGAATGGTACTCAAACCTCTCCCTACCTCAACTTCCTTCATCGACTTCGAAAATGCCTTCGACAGATAGGGTTGACCAAGAAGTTTTCTGGAAACTACTTCAGTACTACGGCGTACCTCAAATCTTTATCACCTTCATTCAGCAGTTGGCCATATGACAATCCACAACGGAAAACTCAATCAGGGAGGCCTTCTAAGTCAATACACGGGTAAGACAAGGTTGGCTGCCTGCCTATTATCACCGATGATGATATTCTTAATTGTGGTGGACTGACTAGATTATCCGTCAGACTGTGCGTTGGGTGCGAGGAGACAGGAATGTGCTGGACCACTATTAGGAAAACTTTAGAAGATCTGGATTTCGCAGATGATATATGTCTAATATCCCAGAAACTTGAAGACTTACAGGCAGGCGAAAACCAACAAACTGGCTGAAGAGGCTGGCAGTGAAGACAATACTGCAGGTGAACAACTACAGGTAGTCGGAATGTATGAAGATGTCAAAGCCAGCCAGCCAGCCAGAATCGGAAAGGCAAGGCACTACACCTTTATCAACCTGAAACCAGTTTGGAAATCTTCTGCTTCTCTCAGCCAGCGTGAAGAACATGATACGGATTTTCAGCACACTAGTCAGTTCTTCTATATAGGTCAGAAACTTGGCTCTCACATCAAAGAAAATCATCTCCCTAAATGCCATTGCAGACTTTTATCAACAGCTGCCACCTTTGGTGGCTCCATACTGGGGATCAAATGGTCGTCTGGTCGGCCAACCAAAAAGAATTAGCAACAATAAAATCTGCCTGGGAATAAATCAACAGGCGAGAACAAGATTGCTCAACAAATTTGTAGAAGAAAGTGGAGATGGATGGCACAGGCTTTGCTGAAAAGACCATCGAATGACATCACGCGCCAGTCAGCCAGGCCATCGCTGGAGTAGAATTCTAATGAAAAGAGATTGCTTTGAAGTCATCCAACAATCTGAACTGAATTGAACCGAACATACTGCTGATAAGAAGGCGAGAAACACATTTATCAACCTGAAACGAATCTGGAAATCTTCGTCACTCAACTCAGCATCAACAACAAAATGATTCGGATTTTCAATACAAACGTCAAGTTAGTCAGTTCTTCTATACGGATGGATGAGAAACTTGGCGGGTCACAAAGAATATTTCCAACAGCCTGTTGCAGACCTTTATCAACAACTGTCTTCACTCTATGGTGAAGATCAGATGGCCGGAAAGAATCACCAACAAGAAACGATGGGAAGAAACAAAACAAGAACCAATCACCCAACAAATATGCAGGAGAAAGTGGAGATGGATTGGACACTCGCTGAGGAGGCCTCCGCTGGGTGACATCGCGCGTCAGACCAGTGCTCGAGTGGAA